TCAACACTGCAGTTTAAAAGGACTCAACCTGGGCCCTCTTCCCACACGGGACCCCTTGATGACCCCGTCCAGTCTAGTGGTTTTGAATACCACCTAAGTGATGACTCCGCAAGTCACCTCTAGTCCAGACCTTTCCCCTCAACTCCAGACTTGGACATCAACACGAGCGTCTAACAGGCACCTCAAACTCATCACGTCTAAAACCGAACGACTGGTCTATTCCCCAAACTTGCCTTCATGCGTCATCCTCATCATGGTTGACAGCAACTCAATCTAACTGCTCAGACCAAACACCTTGGAACCATCTTGGCTCCTCTCTCACATGCCACATCTGACCTAGCAACAAATCATATTGGTTTAATCTTCAAAATATATGCAGAATTCAACCATGTCTCACCATCTCCTGTGACCACCTTGGTACCAGTCACCACCAGCACCTCCCTCCTCCTTACTAGCCTCCCTGCTTCTACTATCGTTCCCCTGGCACAGAGAGCCTTCTGCTCACACCTGTGAGAGCTCAGGGAAGTCCTTGTGGCAGCTCCACAGAGACCTGTGCAATGTGCACCCCACCCCAACCCAACCCACTCTTCCTCTTTCTGTTCGTTCCATCCTAGCCACACTGGCAGGACTCACCAAAGGCTTCGCCTCGGTGCTGTGAGCTCCTTCTTCCCTCTACTTGGAGCGCTTTCCCACCAGGTAGTAACACGGCCACCTCCCGCCCCTTTAAGGCTCACCCAGTCACCTCATTTTAAACTACAACATCTTCCCCAGAAATTCTGGATCCCCCTCGCTGCATTTTTCAAAGCATTTACCTTTGAACATTCTATATTATTTTCTGTTTGCCATCCCTCACTAGCAGCTGCCCGCAGGGGCAAAAGTTTGTTTTGTACGCCCCACAGTACAGCTGTGTTTGGCACAGAACAGACATGTCTGCTCGAAGAGCATCTCTATCGCTGCAAAGGGCTTGCCTGTCTCTAGAAGAGTCCCTTGGGGCCTGACCAGCTCTAAGGTGCAGTGTCCTCAACACCTGGGCCTGGGCCTGCCCAGTAGCAGCCCCGGAAGCAGATCCGCAGGTGCTCACAGCCACTCTCACCTGACACAGAACCTTACGCCACGGAAAGGCCAGGTCTGACAGCTGTGCCTGATTCAAGAGCGAGCACAAGACAAATACAGAACATCAGGTTCCAACTGTTACTTCAAACTGATTTTACGTGTTTCGTGCCTCAATTTCATGTATCTAAGAACCATTTTAAACAAAAACCTAAAAGGAGCCCGTGGTCACTCCTTCCCCCGGCCTGTCACCGCCTCTCCAGCCGCCTCATCTCATCAGGCTGGACGTAAACTCCTCACTCCCGTTCTTCCTGACGCCCCAGCCAGAAGCAATGCAGGTGCCGCACTCGGTGCCGACCGCTTTTCACACGTGAGTCTCATCGATCCTCCCAAAGCCCTCTGAGGTGCTGCCATCACACACCTATTTCAAAGATGAGAACTCCAACTCAGAGATGAAGCCACTTGTCCAAGGTTCAACTAGCGCTCAAACCCGAGTGTGACTGGAAGTCCTATTCTTTACCCTACACTATGCTGCTCCTCTCTCCGTCTGAGACGTACCACCTCACAGGGCTTGCTGTCACCTCACTTCTCTAGGCTTCAGTTTCTGCATCTGTAAAACAGGGGATGATGTTCAGGATGCCCATCGAGATCCCCTCCAGTTCTCATAATAGAAAACACTTTATAATCCTTTATCCAGCCCAGGCAGGTCCGTACGCAACACATTTACTTAGTCCCTGTTAGCAATCCAAAGCAGTGGCAACAGAAAAGCAGAGAAAAAACTGTAAGACCTTATGTAAAACAACAAAAAGTCTCGACTCCTCTCCACTCATGTCTATCAAGATGCACTTGGGTCTATTTTTCCACAGGGTATGAAAAATCATGTTTTTCATAATTAACCTGGGAAGGAGCTGGAAGCAGGCACGCACCGCACAGGTGAGCAACGGGAGCTTTACTGGGTCACGACGATTTCTGTTCTTTTAGGCTTTCCAAGCCCCAAACCAAAAGCCAGGAACAGGAGCTCTGTAATGCCACCAAGGACTGTGCAGCGAATCAAAACAATCTAATTAGGATTCTGTTAACCTATAAGCAACACCCTAGGCGAGGAGAGAAGCCACGTTGTCAGCGCGTATTGCACATAAAGAGCCGGGTCCCGCTGCGGCGAGGAGGACAGCCCTTCCTCCTTTTGTGCGGAGCTGCCCACCAGCACCCCCAACAGAACCAGTCCCTCGGTGTTGGCCTGGAAACTAACGACTGTTAAGATCCAGGCAGCTCTGGGCCAAGGGGAAGAGACCTGGGAAAGGGCTGCAAAGGAAAAAGGAAGGGGAAAGAGAGCCAGGGGAGAACTAAGGTAAAAAGTGTCCAAAGAGGGACCTGCGGGTACCCTTCTGGCCTAAAAGTAACAGTTTCGTGGGAAACCCCTTCGTGGGGCCGGTCTGGCTTCCCGGCACCAGCGAGCAGCTGCAGAAGAACCGCTTTGCAAAACAATAGTCTCCGCGGGCAGCGAGTCCAGGCTGAGGGGGCGCCCCGAGGTGCACGGCGCGCCTAAAAGTAGTTTCGTGGGAAACCCCTTCGTGGGGCCGGTCTGGCTTCCCGGCACCAGCGAGCAGCTGCGGAAGAACCGCTTTGCAAAAAAATAGTCTCCGCGGGCAGCGAGTCCAGGCTGAGGGGGCGCCCCGAGGTGCACGGCG